AAGCTTATTCTGCATTTTCAGTTATAGCCAGGGGCGGAGCTAGATGGCGGGCCAGGGGTGGCCATGGCCACCCTTAGCCAATCATTGGCCATCCCTGTGGCCACCCCTACCATTTTGGTGGTTAATTGGTGCACATCCGTATAATAACATTAAAGATAAGTACAGAATTCATGCTCTTTTCAGAACTACATTTTGTGTTAATTATGGGGTAAAATGATAAAAAATAAAATTATTTTTCTGCAAGACATCTAGGAGTCTTCAGTGAAGTCATACATAAATAACTATTTTAATAAAAACTTATTAAATAATCATTGTCTGTAGGTATAAGTACTTATAAATATCAATTTTATGCAGAATGATTATTGATAAAAGTAGGAAAGTAATGACAATGGAAAAGATGTTGCCCCAGAAATCTAACCTGAAAGAATTTTATCCACTATACCTTTTATCCAGAAAGCACGGATGTTTAAATATGTGCGTCTATTTTTTAGCAAAGGCTGTAGGAAAGTATAGTTTGTCTTTATTTTGAAAATGTGGATGTTTTGCTCATTAATTTTACTATTGGAACAAGTTTTTTTTTTTTTTTTTTAGAGTATCCTGTTTGGCAATGTGGCAATAAGAATAATTGTCTTGATGCCAAAAAAGAGCCCATCAGATTTTGCTTTCACAATTGGAGCAGCATGGCTATCGCCATAGTGTTCTGATTGATTTATGCATATAAATAGCTTTATTATAATCATGCAGTGAATATTGCAGATTATATGGGCACCGCAATGTAAGTAGAACAGGAAAGGAAAAACAGGAAAAGGGAGAAAAGACAAAAGAAAGAGGAGATAAAAGGGAGACAATGATAAAATGTCTCCAGTCTGCTTCATCACCTGCAAAGGATATAGCAACGGATATAGTATAGATGGCTGGTTATACTCCTGCACCAGTGTGTCGGAGTAAGCTTGACACAGACATTTTTTATTTATGCCCAGTATTGAAGCGTGGTCCACGCTATAAGCTGTGGGTCTAGATACGGCCGAGGCGATGAGGAAGTGGGGGCGAGTTTAGTCCGACAACAGAGGGACATGACAGCGAAAAAGAGCGGGGATCCAGGTGGAAAAAGGGTCCCAGCGTTCTTGTGCACCTCGATCTTCTAGCTGGTCAAACTTCACGAGTTGTTTTCTGCAATTTCGGTCATAAAAACAAAAAAAAAACGGGCCTCCTGTCTGCGACACTGTCTACAGTCAGTCACAATTTGGTAGAGGTGCAGCAAAGCGTCTGTGGAGGGGGCGGGGACGTCTTTTTGTTCACTGCGACACCTACGCAGACGAGTTTCGAAGTATAAATCAGCCTTAAGAGATACATTGACCCTGAGGTTCTTGCCTTTATCCACTTTCGGCCACCCCACAGTGTACATTGATTATTGCCTGGCTACCCTTATAAAAATGTTCTGGTTACGCCTCTGGTTATAGCTCAGTTAATTTTTGCTTCTATCACCTTCCCACCTTATACATTTCCTGCTTGTGAAAATTTAGAGAAGCACCTATAAACCCACTGATGGCTATCTTTACCATAAGCAATAAAAATGGTCGCCTTGGCAAGAAAAAAAGAGATCTAAATCAAATCCAGGCTGCAAGATCCACCTCCACTCAGAGGATTAAAATGACTGTTATTCTTCGTATGTGTAAACCATGTAAATTCCCTCATTAATCATTTCTTACCTTCTTGATTTAAAGTGAAAACAAATGAATGCTTTTAGGCATGATTGCAAACATGATTCTGGTTGAAATGTATTTTTTTATTGCAGAGGCATGTTGGTCCAGGCAAGTGAAGCCCTGCTGAGGTGGCCCATGTTCTTTCTCCTCCAGTCAGCTATGGTTCAAATAGCTCCCCCTGGTGTCCATCGGCAGAATTGAGCAACACTCGAAATAAAAAGCCTTGCAGGTTTACTGCACATCTGGATCAACAGCATCACTGTGTGGATTGTGTTTCTTTTTACATGAGTTTGTGTCAGAGTGAAAGCTTGTTTTCCAACAATCTGCACTCAGAAGCTGATTTCATTTGGCTGCGTAGATGTTTCTACCCATTCTCTAGCACCACATGAAATCAGTGTTCTGGGAGGTGGACCATCAGCGTATACAGACTGTGTACTTAGTAAAGCTAAAGTAACTTACATTTAAATTCTGATTATGCTTTGTTACTCTGAAAACAGCTTTCCCTGTACTACAATTTATTAGCTCTGCCATATTTGAGGTTTGCTATTATTTTTTGTGTTTAGAGACTGTTTCCTGCTCTTTAGGGTTTTTCTACCTCCGGCTTTATTAATATATTCCACATCAATTATGTTCAGTTAATAAACATTTACTCCTTTTTGACATGTTTTCGCTTTTCTTTGTATACATATTTCCCTCATGATATTTGCTCACTAAATAAATTGCTGTTATTGTCTGGAAGATATTTTTGTTTTAATCAATCTACCTGCACCACAGCACATAGACAATCCAGCACATAACTGCAGGGTGTAAGATGCTGGCAGGGAAAGCTTACATGGAGCGCCATAACTAAGTGGCTGGAATAGTATACAGGAAAATCTGTGCAGAGTATGGGCTGGAATCCCCAAGGTCAAAGAGGGAAACACCTACGAATATGGTAGAGAATGACCGAGGCAAGATCCTGTGGGACTTCCAGATACAGAGGAACTGAATGGTAATGGTAAACCAACCGGACATTGTGGTGGTGAACAAAAAGCAGAGGAAAAACGTTGTGGTTGACATAGCAATACTAAGTGACTGCAACATCAGGGAAAAAAAAACATGAGAAACTAGAAAAACACAAAGAGCTCAGAGAAAACCTGGAAGGTCAAGGCAGCAGTGGTACCCGTGGTCATTGGGGCCCTCGGGGCAGTGACCCCCAAACTGAAGGAGTGGTTACAGCAGATCCCTGGAAATACATCAGACATCTCGGTCCAGAAGAGTCCAGTTCTAGGAACAGCAGAGATACTGTGCAGAACTCTCAAGCTCCAAGGCCTCTGGTAGAGGATCCGAGTTTGGAGGAAAAATAGGGGGGAAGACCGTCCGCGAGTTTTTTATATATATATATATATTTATATGTGTGTCAGAAAGGAGTAAATCTTTATATATA